TTTTGCCTCCAGGTCCCTGCCCCTAGGAAGGCCCTGTAAGGTTGTGCAAATCAAGGCAGCTTCCCTAGCAGTCAAAATTAACCTACGGCAACTTTCTTGGAAGAAGTAGCATTTTAGGACTACAAAAGTACCTGGAGGTGCCCTAGGTGCCAAAGATGGCTATTTTAAGGAATGTATTCTATGTATAGATCATGGACTGCTAGAAAACTGCTACCCTTCAATTTTAAGTTCTCTTTGGTTCAAAAAATTGGTTCAAAACTTTCGTGATTTTTTTTTTCCCTACAGGGTTATTTCCTTTCTCTTCAACCATCATTTATTTGTAAAATTGAAGGTATGGAAATACTTTCAGTCTATAACACATTTCTGATTTTTTATTTATTTGTTTGTTACAAATAAGTTCAACCTTTAGAGAATTAGAAGAGAAAGGAATAATGGGTAAATTTTTTAGAAATAAAAAAATAATAAAATGTTCAGCGATAACTACTTAAAATATCTGAAGAGAGCCTACCTCTCATTATTGTTGAAAAGCATGTAGCATTATATTATAAAATCATAACAATATCAGACAAGAATAAATCACTCAAGCTTTCTAGTGTGGTATCTGTCTTTTACATGTAACACTTATGTTAAATTATCTTAAAAGCAAGTTTCTCTTGCATACCATTCTATATATAAAGACTAAACACTTTACATTATAAAATTTGTCATTTATACTGTTTGACAATTCCCTTTTATAAATGTTTATGAGAGAATTTTCCAATTAGTTTAAGAACTTTTTTTTTTTTGCTTTGTCTTCTAAATGTTCATTGCAGCTAAAAAGCAATTTCCTAACACCTGTGGGAGTGATTTTTTTGTCATTCTTCTTTAACTGATAAAATAATATTATTTCTAAGGTTTTATACATAATAGTTCTAGAAGAAAATATATTAAAAACTGTTGTGAAGCTCTACTATATGTATTATATATTTATACATGTATATGAAGAAAAATTAGATACACACATAACACACACACACTCACACACACTTCACAGCTACCAATTCAAATAGAGCGCGTTTTTGTTGTTTTTGTAATTGCTGTTCAAAGACTATGTGTGGTTTTGCATTTTTTTCCCACTTGGTATCTGAGATATCTGTAGCAATAAACAGAACAAAAAAACAAGTTTGGTGCTACTTCAAATTAGTGTCAAAATGCAAGGAATTGATGAAAAGGCTCTTTATGCCCTCAGGGCCCAAGCAGTCTTATGGATTGTGTAAATACTCGCTTCTTTAGCCCACATTAATACGAAGAACTCACTTATGGTTAACTGTTAACTTATGCTTCCAAATAACACTAATCATGACAAAGTACCGGAATAAATGCTTATGTTACAGGGGATAAGGATAGGCCTGTTCCCTTAAGGTTATTTAATCAAAGCTCAGTCCTGCCATTTGAAAGCACTGTAAGGCTATTGGTATTTAATATGCATCAATAAATAAACTTTCAATTATCTTGGTGAGCACAACCAAAGATAGCATGACAATCAGAAAGCAATGATCTTTCTAGTAATTGTTCCGAATAAATAATTTTGATGGATATGATCTTTGCTTAATTTCAGGTGAAATTGGAATCGTATGAAATTTAAATAGCTTTCCTGCTTGAAGATAAACTATGCAGAAATTTAGAATATCTCACTTGAAAAAGATTTTTTTTTATCCAGTGAAAAACAGCCAACTTGTTTTATTTCCAATTACATCCATCTTTTTATGGCGATTGGCTCTATCTTACATCATGGGGAAAACGGAATTTTCTTTAAAGAGAAGAAAATTGCTTTGTACTTAGAGCCAGAGTTTGTAACAAGATATTTAATGCCCTATCTACGGTGGCTTACAGTAGTGTGTCCTGCAGTAATCACTTAATAGATTTATAAAAGCAAAATGGTTACTCTAAAATCTAAATTTACCTGGTATATGTTTGTTAATTAATATGCTAGAGCTGGCATAGTTCAATTAAATGTAATAGGAGAGGCCATGTCTGTTCTAATTTCTTTGTTGCAACTTCCTTTGCTAGAGTCTTTTCTCAGACCATGTGCATGACATTTATTCGTGTATATCTACCCAAGAATCTACCTAATCATGTTCTTCTATGTGGAATATCTAAGTTCTTATTTGCCTAACTCTGTGTTTGGGTAATCCTTGAAGAGAAAAAAAATCTCAAGACAGGAATACCTTAGATATAATTTATAGGACTAATGAATTTGTATGTCTTTTAGGCAGTTCTACATTACAGACACATTAGTATTCTCTTCTTTTTATAAGGCTGAAGTAAATCCCATGGCACCGGAAGAATTTAGATACTGATTACTTGCGATTGGTTCCTGGTGATTTGCTCTTAATAATTTCTAGTTGAATTTAATGAATATATGATTCCTGAAAGGTTGCTTCATTAAAACTGCATCATTCCTCTTCAAGTGTGATTTTGGCCATTTCATCTATTCTTTGTGGTGTGTTTTCTCTCCTTA